GCTTCAATATCATCTTTGAATTCTAGATTAAACAGAAGCATTTTCTTTGAAACGGATTGGACTTGTTCAGAAGTCTTCTTCGATTTGAGATTCTTGTCTATGAAGCTGGGCGGGAAACCGTTTTCCATCAGGGTTTTTCGGAGATTACACAGTTCTTCTTCAATCACTTCCTCGCTGCATATCTTCCGAATCCTCGAGGAAAGAGCGTGTATCAGATCCCTTTTTCTGCTTAGCGGCACGAAGCTTTGAAAGGTTTTGAGGTTTACCCATCCCCCTGTTTATTATGGCATTCTAATTCCTAAGTGTGATTTTTATTAATTTGACCCTTAACCGGAAATTTTTCTGGAACTTTCCCATCCATTTGATATAAATACACGAATGTACAGCCTAGATGATGACTTCGTCGAAAAGAAAGTTTTCGTCGCTGCAACTGTCTTTTTATTCCCTATGATCAAATGTGTATATTCCACAATTTATTACTGCTAATAATCATATCAAGGTACTCACTCACACAACTTCCTTGCTTCGTTTATATACATGAGTAAAAATTGATGATTAGACATTTGAATAAAATCAATATAAGATAAAGTACATTCGGGAATAATATTAGTGTTATTAATCAAATACAATCACATGGGAAATAAGATGTTTTTATAGTCAAAATAAGTAACTTGTTAGAATGTTAGAATGTATGTGAATTGAAATAGAATTTTAAGATTATTTATTATCCTCCTCTGATTTGACTGGTAGTAATAATATCTTCCATATCTCTGGTATTTGCATTGAGTCATTTCTGTTGCATGTGTTGGATATAAACTCAATGAAACAGGATTCAGTAATCAATCTCTCTCTCCACCTACATATATTACTTTTTAGAATTTTGACTCTGTCCCACTCTATTGTGTGGTTGTGTGTTAATGCATGCAGTGCGATTGCTGAGCTTTTTTCTAAATTACTTATCTTTACAGGGTCAATCATTCTAACCTTAGCTAAATTCTTATGTTCTGACAGGCAATCTCACTACTCCCGATCTACTAGTTTGACTTATGTAGCTGACCTCACTCACGGTCATTGCAACGTATTTTGTAAATTATGTTATTTTGTCTAATTGGGTCAACCTATAGGGTCCTTTAGCCTACAGAGCTTGTCCTGCCTGAGTGAATTTGTAGGTTTAAATGCCACCCTAATTCATGCTTTATTGAGAATCCTGAGTAGGGTCTCAGATGTCCCCTCCTTATATGGTAAAACTGTAGATGCCTTACATTCTTTCTTATTTATCTTATCATTATTAGTCTCGCCATTATTTTTATTTTGCTTTTGAACTTTTTTGATATTCCTAATGAATTCTATAGGATACAGTTATTTGGTACCAACGCCTCTTCTATCTGTTTTATTTCATCGTTTAGGTTTTTTGTTGTGCTACTTAGTGCTACTGCTCGGTTTGTTAGACACTTAACTTATTGATATGTGAAAAGATTGATTAGTGAATAAAGAATATTCTTTTCGATAACTTCTTCCTCCTAAGGTTCTGTAGTTCTGTGTCGGTAATAATCAAAGAATTATTGTTATTAATAACAAGAATGTGTTGAATAACATCGAATTAATGATATCTATGGATGACAGTTGAAAAGAATCTGTAGGTAATACCATTCATCAATATAACAGCAAAATAAATATCAAATAAATAATGAATCGTAATAAAGAATTTATGTCAAATCGAGAATCGGGAAGGCGAGAAACACATTCATCAACCTGAAACCAATCTGGAAATCTTCGTCACGAAATGATCAGAAACTTGGAGGCTCACACAGAATATTTCCAACAGCCTGTTGCAGACCTTCATCAACAACTGTCTTCGTTCTATACTCAAGATCAGATGGCCAGAAAGAAGAAGAACCGACAAGAAACTATGGGAATAAACAAAACAAGAACCAATCGTCCAACAAATACGCAGGAGAAAGTGGAGATGGATTGGAAACTCGCTGAGGAGGCCGTTGGGTGACATCGCGCGTCAGGCCAGTGCTTGAGTGGAACCCGAAAGGGAAGCGGCGAGTGGTTCGTTGGTGCAAGGGTGACATGGAGGAGATGGTGTGAAGAGGAGTTGAAACAGTGTGGACTAACATGGCTGCAGGTGAAAAGTACATCAGAAGACAGAAGCAAGTGTAGGTGTGCAGTTGAATCCCTATGTTCCACTAGGAACCCAAGGGAACAATAATAATAAGTTCCACAGAAGACCAGGGTGGCTTTAGTGGATGGATCTGTTTCATTTTGTGCCCACAGAGCTCCAGTTATGTTTTAGGCGAATTGCTATGGACTCAGCTGTTTGGAATGTTTGGTATTTAGAGTCCCTTGATAATTTATTTGGTACCCAATAGACGATAAGAAAAGACTCTTCAATGCTAATTTTGTGACCTGTTTAGATGAAGTGGTCTAACATCGGAACGTTGATGGTTTTTAATACACATTTATTTAGCCATATTCACAGATGTTCCCAAGCACGAAAAACTAAGTTCCTAGAGCGATGGTCACTATATGTGAATCTACAAGAGAAGTTGAATTGATCAGTTACTAATAAGTGTTTTTATTGGATAGCCTGACAAGGAAGTTATTTCATTAATGCTAGCAACTCATCAGCTGGACCTACCTGTGATTCCTAGTGAGTGGTGATAGTTCTACTGAGACTAGAATCCAAGAACTCATCGTTTCAAACGCCGAAACGAAATCCACTTCAATTGATAAACCTTTATTAGTTTTACGAAATTAAATTGTATATTTCGACCTTTTTTCTCAATGTATATGCCAAATTCTGCAGGCTATAAGTTAGGATGATGCGATAATTGAAATAACTGAAATACCTGAAATTCTGCTGACATTTTTCTTCAGTAAAACAAAAATGTAATTGTTCAAAGCCTTGAACATTGATTCTACGATTTATTCACTATATAAAGATTTAATTTTACAGTCTGATTTTGGAGGTTATGCTTTAGAAAATCAGTCGACAAAGTAATTAAATTTTAAATGACATTCATTCCAACACCTCTGAGATTAGTGTTTTCTAACTGACCATTACTTTTCAAAACCGAAGTGACAAGATCTAGAAGGTGAAGGTGCTCAACGCTGTGTGTGTGTTTACCAGTTCACCTGCTTCTGCAGAACTAGACATATCGATTGTTCAATTCAGACCTTATCTAATAGGATACAACAACATGACTCGGCATTATTGCGAAGTGAAGGAAGTGGAGCTGTAAGATGCTCATCAAATATACATCTGGTTGACACCAGTCATTTTGTCTCAACAGCCTCTTCCTCTGAAGTTATCTAGTAGGGCAAAAAGTAAAAAGAAGGATTGGATATTCTCTGAGGAGAATATTAAGTGACGTCAAGCGACAGGCTGTCTAGTAGACCTTGGACTGGGAAACAACTAGTCGTGTGTCTTGGAGTGATATGGAATAGAATAAATGAAGAGGAGGTGAGAGTTTGTGGGTAACAATGGAGTAAACTAACAAAGACTGCAGAGAACGAAAGGGTTTTAGAGATGTGTTACTTGAGTCCGATGTTCCTGTTGACACCCAAGGGAATCTTTTTTTTTCCTTCACATTCCCCAGTGGAACACAGGGCTTCAAGCTAGTGGCTTGAAGTTTCTGTAGCAGTGTTTATTTTACAGGATGGGGTTGCTAGACTCATCCCCAACCTTTCCTCTTCACCAGCATTATTTCTGGCTTAGTGAAGTAGAGGAGCGCGTCGGCTGGGGATCGAACTACGGACCATGTGCATGGTCGGTGAGCGTCCTAACCGCTATGTCACCGATGCACCCCAAGGGAATAATAATAATAAATATTTTTTACGTTTACCAAACAGGCAAATATATTTTACTATCGTAAGCCTAAACATTGGATAGTGTAGAGTTCTGTGTTACAAAACACGGTCAAAGTCACATAAAATTAAGAAATACGATATTAGAATCAAGATGAAAGGTGCGAACTCATCTGTTCTCTAAATCACATTTTAAACCATGATAGGCCCTAATCACAAGCTACTTTGGTCAAAATGACACCAGCCCAGTAATTCCACATTTCCTTACATGGTTCAACCCACTAATCAGTTACTTTGTCGGTTGATGCTCTGTCTGGGTTTCGTCATATTCTGCTTTCATCTAACTTATCCGTACTTCAGCTAAAACAGTGTATTCAGACGGGCAGTGTGAGTGAATATCTGCAGCAAATTTTTCAACCGCTTTAGATGATGAGAGGTTTTAACTTTTCCGGATTACTCATCTAATTTACTTCTATACTGATAACATTATTATTATTATTGTATCCTTTAATTCCTACAGGAACATAGGGCTTCAGCCGTGCGTCTCCATTGCGTTCTGTTCTCTGCTAGAGTTTTTACCTGGCTCCATGTCTGCCCACAAGTTTTCATCTCCTCTTCACATGACCTCCTCCAAGTCATCCTTGCACTGACGACCAACTCGCCGCTTCCCTTTCGGGTTCCACTCAAGGGCTTGTCTAGTGATGTCACTTGATGGTTTCCTAAGGGTATGTCCAATCCATCTCCATTTCCTCCTGCCTATTTGTTTCACAATCGGTTCCTGGTTGGTTCGTTCCCAAAGATCCCTGTTGCTGATCTTTTCTGGCCTGCCATCTGATCTTGAGTATTGAGCGAAGACAACTGTTCATGAAGGTCTGTAGTTTGTTTGAGGTGGTCTTTATGACGCGCCAAGTCTCTGATAACATACTGGCTGTGATATGATGGGAACAGTCTCACTAACTGCATTCCATATTTTAAAAATATTTTCTTATTTTGACACCTTTGCAATGTAACCATATTTCTGAACAAACTTTTTCTTATGCCACAGAAACTTACTACTTAAATAAGATGAATTCACATTATTTCAACAATACATATAAATAGATTCCAACGTCGTTAACTTCAAGTATCTTCAGAGAAAGCTGTTGATATTCTTTCCTGTATTTCTTCTCTTTCCATTTTGCATACAGGTTATCGTCTACTGAATATTCCTTGTGGTGTTTGTGGAGATCGTTCTACAGGGAAACATTACGGAGTATATAGCTGTGATGGTAAGTAATGGCAAACAAATTTCAGCTGCGTGAGTCAAACCAGAATATTATGGCGTTTATGATTTTGAGTCTTACTTTCTGGTAAAAAAAGAAAACAGTTAATTTATGTACACAAAAGTCAGTTAGTTTTGATTTTTGTTCGTGTCACTAACTGGAATTGGTCAAAGAGAAGCCTTAACACTCATATAACATTGGAAAATCAAATTCTCTCATTTTATGGCTTTTTGTATTTTCGTTATGCTTTCAAGTTTCTGTACAGATTGAACTGATTTTCTATGATAGGGCCGCCAGCACCATGTCCAAACTTCCCTATTTTCCCTAGCTTAGGTAGGATTAGCTAGAAAACTGGTGAACTAGTAGACTAGGCGACGTTACCTACAACCATGAGATTAAGAGTCTCGTGCTCTGTTGAATGAAATGGCCAGGTTGGTGGTTTGATGGTCACTGGTTTGATCCTACCTACTGCTAATCATACATGCCGAAGAAAATAGAAGTGAATTTGTTTAGTTACAGGATTTCATCATGAGCTGACATTAGTTAGAGAATCATTGGAAAACCTGGGAGTACTAGACAGCTGTCTAACCAGCCTAGTTTGGGACTCTTCATCAGTACGCACCCACCACCAGAGTTCGAACACAAGACCTTCTGGTTACAAGGCCAGCGAGCTCGTATACCACTCAGCTACTGGGACCCGATCCAATGGCCAGTCCATGAATTCTAACTTCTGCCAATTCACGATATAGCTCAACCGCTAGTCAATGTCTTCGGCGAGTATTTGTCCTCATACCCGACCTGCTGCACCCTACTGGTCACGACTTCCCACTGGAACCCCAGGTAACTACCTACCTGAATAGGGCCAGTCACCAGTGAGCATCTCATTGATATTCAAGTATTGGTTTGTAGGGATTTGGTTGATTGGTTACAGGATTTCATCATGAGCTGACATTGGTTAGAGGACCACTGGAAAACCTGGGAGTACTGGACAGCTGTTTCATCCTAGCCTGGGACTCTTCATCAGTACGCACCCACCGGGGTTCTAACAAAGGCTGAGGAGATCGTCGGGTAACATGGCTTGCTGGGTTAGCCATCGAATGGAGCCTGATTCGAGAATGACAAGTTGGACGTCTGAGGGTAACATTGTGAAGACCATGTGACGATCAGCTAAGGAGGATTGCAGAGAACAGGAAAAAATAAGGATGTATGCTGTTGAGGCCATTTGTCCCACTATAAATCAGAGGGAATAATAATTTTATAACTTTTAACTCACAACAACCATTCACAGCACAAAGTTAGACTCATTCCATAGTTATCAGTTTTCAAAGAGTGCATTTAACGACTTGGCTAATGAAAAATCACTTGACTTTGAATATGAAGGTCCGAGGTGGTGTAGTCGTCAACTGCAATGTGATGAATTAATTATTCCACTTCACTTTTCAATGGTTTCGCCAGTTAACTTTAATTTTTGATGAAATCAATCGTGGACCCAGTCACTTTGCAACAGTGATTCAATGTTAGGAATGCTGGCCAACCATACAAATGGTCTGGATTCCATTTCCTGTTGATGGACTCCAACAACTGAAAAAATATCACTGGCCACAGTATGCAGCCTCGTCTAACTCCTGAATTCACTTCAAAGGCTTTGCTGACTTTTCTGTTGGGAATTACTTGGTTAGGACTCTCGCCGACCATGCACATGGTCCGGGTTCGATCCCCTACCGACGCACACCTGATATCAATGGCTACCGATATCACATGCTCAAAATTCCATACTTGCACCAAAAATACGGTGTAGAATCAAGCTGTAATAAAAAAATAGCATTGTTTCATGGCTGCTGGATGAGACTGATAAAGGTTTGGGCACCTCATAGTGTTGAAGTAATTTCCAAATTAACTCATGGCCGACGCTGCCATGGACCTTGAGAAAGTCAGTGGAGTTCAGATAGAGAGTTGACTGACATTCCCGGCTACTTTTAATGATAATGTGTGGCGTTACAATCTGTTAATCACATGATTTGCTTTTCCTGAAGCTGGCTGGTTCCGTAGTTTTGCGTCCAGAGCATCCTTCAGCTTCTCCAGATGACGCAACCCTATATTTTGCTCCGGGCGGACAAGGATATGACTCCACACCAGTTCATGAATAATCCTGGGTCTCCCCTCTTTGGTATTCTGACAAGGTAGTCTCTCTTCCAATCAGTAGGCACCTTTACTTCCTTCCAAATGTTCTGCAATATTGCCGTGAGCATTTCCTCTGCGATATCCAGATCTGTTTCCAGTGCTTAGGAAGGGACTCCGTTTGGTTCTGCTACTCTCGCAACTGGCTATAAGTAGCTTGATCACATTCAAGACTTCTGCCTTTGTCGGAGGATTGGTGTTCACTGGCAGTTCTGTAGGTGTTGGTGTTATTTCTGTATGAGTAGAAAGTGATGGTCGGTTCAGGAGCCTTTTGTATTGATTGCCCCACTGTTTCCTATGCTCCTTCACCATCTTTCATCTGTATTGATCTCTTCCAGGGAAGGCGACCTGATTATTTGATATAATGATTTGAGGTCTCTACTACCTGCGGCCTGCTATGCTTCACTTGTCACTGTGTTGTAGAATCGCCTTTTGTCACTTCTTTATTCAGTGTGTTGCAGACTGAACTTACCTTTTCCTTTCACTATACATCTTGGCATTGGTTCATCCTCTGTTTCACCAGCCCTCTCTCCTCTATTAGCTTCCAGGAGTGATTTACCCGAACAGATCCAGCTGGGATGGAGACAAAGACGGGGACTTCTTCAACAGACTTGTTGTCAAACTTCACTACTATGTCAAAACCTTACTGTATAATATGAAATCCAAGTGTTTGTAAAGTAGATAGATAAATAGTTTCTATTGCAAAGGGACCAGAATTTATCGAAGGCACACTGTATAATCTACTCGATATGGTAAATGACTCTGCAGCCAGTGTAATGAATGTCTTGCAAGTATATGCAGGTGAGTGATATGATCAAGCGGAGTCATTCGCATCAATCAGCAGGAGTTGGTTTCCAAAGCATATTGCGATGAAATCTCACATCGAGCCGCATGTTTTACAGATAGCTAATTTCATTCCATATACAGCCAATGTTAGTAAATTATTTGTCTTTACTATTATTGTTATTCTTTCCTTTATTTCTTATAGGATGTTCTGGCTTCTTTAAAAGAAGTATACACAAGAATCGAACATACACATGTAAAGCAAGTGGAAATTTAAAAGGTCAATGTACAATTGACCGTAATCGTCGTAATCATTGTCGGGCATGTCGATTGAATAAATGTTTTATGGCACAAATGAATGAAGAAAGTAGGTGCCTACATATAATTATTGTTATTATTCCCTTTCGTTCCGAGTGGAACATAGGGCTTCAACAACACATCTTCACCTTGTTCTGTTTTCTGCCGTCCTCTTCAGCTGGGTCCACGATTGACCAAGCTCTCTCATCTCTTCCTGACACGATCTCCTCCATGTCACCCTAGGACGACCACACTTGTCGCTTCCCATTTAGATTCCACTCTAGCGATGGCCTGTATTGCGCACGATGTCATTCGGTGGCCTCCTCATTGGATGCCCGATCCATCTTCACTTTCTCCTATATATCTGTTAAGCTATAGGCTCTTGGTTGGTTTTTTCCCATAGTTTCTTGTTGCCTATTCTCTCTGGCCATTTGATCTTCAGTATGCAGCCAGCGAAGACAGCTTTTGATAAAAGTTTGCAATTGGCTGTTGGAAATCCTTTTCGTGACACGCAGTGCAAGATTCTCACCCACATAGAAGAACTGACTGTTTTCACATTGGTGTTGAAAAGTGCCTACATATACCTTTTTCAGTATATATATATATATATATATATATATATACAGACGAATTACAAGATGTGACAATTTAACTTGTTGTAGTGATGATTTGTGCTATATGTAGTAGCAAAACAATAATATTTCTATCCGAACTCAGAAAACCAACCGATGTGTCCTTCAATACAGGTTGAGGAACTTCAGCGAGTCACTCACAGTAAAAAAATACCCTCTCACAATAGAAAACCACGACTGAGATTGATAGAATCTGCGTTAGTATGGAAACAGTTATATCAGATATACAAAACTACATAGACAACGCCGTATGGAAGAGATACACAATCACAAAGTTCCTCAGGCACAAAACAAGTACTGAAAATCAATAAGAATACCCACAGCAAGGTAGGATCAAAATTCTGTCTTCAAGAAGCAAACAGAATAAAACACCTTGCCAACTGATAGTCCGAGGTTAAACAGTCACTAAACGGCGTAGTCTTGAATTTATTCAAACAATACCGTGATCGAAAAATAACGAATTATTATCAGCAGACCACCATCACACAACAATAAATTGAAGTATTGTAAATAGGAATCAACCAGAAGCAATATTTTATATTTTTTATATTTTGATTACAGCTTTATTCCACACAGTATTTTCAGTACAAGTATGAAATTTTCAGCATGAATATCGACAGCCCAAATTGCAGGCCGACCATAGATATCGGGTGTGCGTCGGCAGGGGATCGGACCCCGGACCATGTGCATTGTCGGCGAGAGTCCTAACCACTGTGCCACCGACGCACACAAAGAAAAATAGTGATAAGGAGTGAGTCAAAATGAGATAAAGAACTGTTCGAAAGATGATAAGCAGGTCAGGGGAAAAGGGCGATAATCACAAAACTAGCTGAATTATTCGAAACAGTATCAATACTGTAAATAGCTGGTTCATGAGGAGATTTTACGATCAGTTTTGCTGATATTATTATTACTGTTATTATTATTTTTCCCCTGCATTCCGAGAGGAACATAAGGCTTCAACAACACATCTCCATTTTATCCCATTTTATCCACTTCTCCTTAGCTGGCTCCACGAGTGTACATAATCTCTTATCTCCTCCACGTCACTTTCAGCCGCCCAACTTGTCGTTTCACTTGAGGTCTAGTGCGGCCCGTGATGTCGCTCATCAGTCTCATCAGCGTGTGTCCAATCCATATCCATTTTCTCCTACATATTTCATACATTTATTCCCCTTAATGAATTTAAACAAAGCAAGAACTACAGTTTTAGCAGAATAAAATGGTACCATCTTTTATTTCGTTGCTTTGATGGAAATGGTTTCAGCAAACTTAAGAAGAGTTGAGCTCTTTTGTCGATTGATAATTTGGTGGTACCATTTTATTCTGCTAAAACTGTAGTTTTTGCTTTGTCCCTACATATTTGTTGAGAAATAGATTCTCGATTGATTCGTTGCCGTGGCTTCTTGTTTCTAATTATTTTTGGCTGATCATCTAATCTTCAGCATCGAGACGGCAAAGGAAGCTGTTGATGAAAGTCTTCAGTAGGCTATTAGAAATAATCTTGGCGATGCTTGCGCCAAGTTTCTAACTCATATAGAAGAACTGATTGACTTAACATTGGTGCTGAAAATCCGAACTGTTTTCTTTATGCTGAGTACAGAAGATTTCCATGCTGAAAGTCTGTCATGACTTTCCGATTCTTGCTAGTTTTTACAACCTCATCTGTGCCTGTAGTTGAAATGGTGCTTCCTAGATTATTGAAGGAAGTAACCTCTTTCAAATGTATCCCTTTGATGGTGATTGGTGTTTACTCTTGTTGATTGTCGGGCAACTTCATCACCTCCATCTTCTCTGAGTTCACTTTAATTCCTGTCTTCTCAGCTTCTCTTGCTAACTTGCTTGTTTTCGCCTTTAAATCTCCGAGCTCGTGTGACATTAAACATAAATCATCTTAGAAATCCTTCTAGTGTTTCCTTAGTGAATCTCTTTTAATCCTTCATGTTATTATAGCACAATTTTTCACATATTCTGGACAAATGATGCTGTTGATTCGATGATTAACCTCTCCATGTCTCTCTAGGACTCACTTTTTATTACTTTTACCGATTCCACCCTATTTTGTGATTACATTCTAGTAAATGCATTAAAATGGTTTGAGTATTTTTATCAGATTAGGTAACTTAACAGGATTGGTTACTCTACACCTAGTTAAGTTCCCATTTTTTGATCATCTAAATGATCCCGATCTACTATTACTGTCATTATTCCCTTGGGTTCCGAGTGGAACATAGGACTTCAGCAACTCGTCTCCACCTTGTCTCATTTTATGTAGTCCTCCTTAGTTGGTTCCACGACTGCCCATAATCTCTCATCTCCTTCAACTGGCACGACCTCATCCATGTCCACTCGAGGACATAGCGCGCGATGGCCTATTCAACCCATGCTCGACCTTTTATTCTGACCATATATATTATTTTGACCAACTAATTATATTAACGTTTTGTGACAACAAACTTTATCTCTCAATGAGTTGGTTTATTCATATGCCATCCTAGTCATAGTTTTACCAGGTATGTAGAATACCTGATAAAAAAAGTGGTCTGGTGTTTCTTCCTTTATATGGCAGTACTATCGAGTCTTTGAATTCTTCATTATTCGCACTGTGTTTACCATTTACATTGCAACTCTTATTTTTCCTCTCTGATCTTAATAAAATTCGACTGCAATCTGATGGGTAGTCATTCACTAGTAATGCCCTGCTTATTTATTTGACTTCATTATTTAAATTTTCTGGTTCACTGACAAGACCTCCTGGCTCGATTATACAAACATCTGGCTTTACTAATGTTCGATGGTGGGATAATTCAAAGCTTATGAATCTATCAGAATATGATGGTTTCTTATTGATGTTAGTGTCACAACTGCCTTCTTCTTTTCGTCTAATTTGGCTTATTCGCATTTACCTCAAAAGTGAACACAATTTTAACTGATTAAAAATACCCGTTAACATTTTTCAAAAGAATGGATACTGAACAAAGAGTACTCTTTTCGATAACTTCATCATCAGGTTCTACAGTAATATATACATAATAGTGAATGAATTTGTATTATTAACAACATTAATGCTATTTAAATAACATCTAATCAATAATAATTTCGATGGATTACAGTCCAATAACATCAACATGACAATAAACTGAATGTCAGAAAAATTAGGAAAGATAATATTACAAATTCATGAATTTTTAGTCTCTGCTGAAGGCCAGGGCAGTAGTAGGGGCTGGACTTGCTTTTTCTGAACACAGAGCACTGGTTGTTTGAGGCGAATTGCAATAGCCTCTGCTGTGTGGAGAATGCGGTACTTCGATGATTTTGGCAATTTATTAGGCACCCTGTAGATTATAGAGAAGGGTTCTTCAATGCTGGCTTTGTGGCCGGTTTGCACCAGATGGTCCAATATCGAACTGTTAATGATGGTTTTAACTACACCTTTACTTAGCCATAGTGGGATATGTTCTCGAGCACGAAGAATCAATTTCCTAGAGTAACGGCCAATATAACTCACTCCACAAGCGCAGTCGAATTGGCTAGTCTAGGTACTTCATCTTTCAGTCCAGGTAGCACCATCGGTCGTGTAGAGAATAATACGTGTAGTTCACCAGCATTAAAAGCATTAAAACAGAATTTTACTTACTACCATATTTATGTATATGGAGAATTTAGATGTATGTTCAAATATCAGTATTGTCTAACTACAGCAGACGAAGACTCGATAAAGGAATGTTTTTCGGCAATCTTGTATCTCCATATCGCAAAATTATATACACCTTATCTACAACTTACTATTTGCACAGATCTTCCATTTTGTGTTACTTCTGCCCTTCCTTCGCATTGTGTTTCTTTGTGTTCCTTTCAGTCGAGTCTCCCATGTATCTCCACAACACTGTATCACTTGCCTTCTCTGACATCAAATCTATCTCCCTGCTGTTTGATATTTCTGTGCTGATGAACGTCTCTTTACATACTACTGATAAATCTTATCAGTAGCACGCGCCACAACATTAAATGTGTTGCAGAGGATTTATGAAAAACTACATTCAAAAAAGGGGCGAATAGTTATGGATAATGTGTTCCGTAATAGGTTGAAATTCTTAAAGAATGAGTTATTATCAAAATGAGAATGGAAACAAAAGAAGGGGTTATATTATTTGGGAAATAAGTTACTTGAAAAAGGTGGAAAATGTTCAGAAAAATGATACCTCATCAGTTGTTTGAACATCAATGAATTAAAAAAGAGAGGAAAGAAAAGAAGAGAGGTTGGATAAAGCTTTTGCTTTTCTGCTTTGATGGCTAAAGCGCTGCAGTGATACCAGTTAAGTGAACCTGCACCAATTTTATTACACTATTATTATTATTCCCTTGGGTCTGGAGAGGGCTTCAACAGCACTTCTTCCTCTGCGATCTGTCTAGCTTCATTAACAACTGCCTGTAAGTCTTCATCTCCTCCTCATATGCGAACTCCTTCATGTCACCCTAGAGACAATCAGCTCATCATTTTCCGCCTGATGCCATTTAACGTTCTTTTCGTCGCGTGTCCGATCCATCTCCATCTCCTTCTGCATATATGGGCCACATGTTCTTGGTTGGTTTGCTGCCGTAGTTCCAAGGTGCTTATCTTCAATTTGTGACCAAAGAAGGAGGCGGCTGATGACGAAATTTCGCAGTAGCCTGTTTGAAATGCTCTTCGTGATGTGCCACATCCCTGAACCATCAGAAGGACTGATTTTAGTGTTCAAATTTAAGATTTGCCACCTTATGTTGTCGCTGAATTTGCAAGGGTAATTTTAGCCGTATGGATAGCTTTGAAGTAGGACTTTATTGAGATAGGATAATCAGTTGAGAAAGATATTAAATAACTACACTTCTTACAGAGTCACTTACACGTCTTCGTAGCCAGATAAGGTAGTGTTCCTGCAGTCTTTTTTGAATAAAACATCACCCATTTTTCCCACTGAACAATTTTTCTTTTTCTTTTAATACACTTTTAGGTGTACAACACGAACGTGGACCACGAAAATCAACTAACGCAGCTAAAAGATATTCTTCAATAGAATTTACTAGTAAACGGAATGATGAATACCCATTAAATCTTTCCATTAATCAGAGGAAAAATTCAAAAATTGCCAACAACACTAACAACAACAACAACAACAGTCGAAAACCTCGAGGATCTTATGAAAGACAGAAAAACGCTGACTATTATCATTATTATTCAAAAAACCTCCTGACTAACTTACCAGTCTATATGGATGACTCTATTCAATGTTCAATTCCAGAACAGTGTAAACCATTGATGAACGCCATGAATTTATCAGGATACCTTTCACAACAGTCTGCCTACAAACATTTAGAAAATATAATTGACAATTTCTATAATTCACTAAGAAATGAACAAAATCCAGTGACTACATCGCAGTGTAAGTCGAATATGCCGGCAGATGCAGATGACTTACAAGGTAAAGCTGAAGATCTTACAGTTGTTTCAAAGAGAAGGGATGAATTTTGTAGAAGTGATCATGATCTAGAGAATGACAGTCGCAATCAGAATATTATTCTTCCAGTAAACCAATGGAATAAAGATTATGTAACGTTATGCAATTATCATGAAGGTAGGCTTAAAAACACAGATGATGTGATAGGAACTTCAATTTTATCATGTAGTACTAGTAATTAGAATCTAAAAGATGAATGATACCCATCGGGGTATTAACGAAAAAGCAAAAACAACTAGTTCAGTGAAGAGTCTGTCTTCGACGAACTCAATTTCTTTAGCTGTACAGCCACATTTATATACATTTTTCATGAAGTAGGACCATGCACATGGTCCGGGGTTCAATCCCCGGCCGGCGCACTCCTTTACCTCTCTAAGCCAGGACTAAAAGCCAGTGAAGAGGAAAGGTTGGGCATGTGGCTAGCAACTCCATCCTGTAAAAATAAAAAAGCTGCTACAGAAACTTCAAGCCTCTAGCTTGAAGCCCTATGTTCCACTGGGAACGTGAAGGAATTTTAAAAAAGGATAGTTACATAAGTGATGAGTTATTATAATCGATACAAAAGAGGAGATGAGCAAGGATGCTAGGGTAACTTAATGACAGTCACGTCGGTAGTTCAGCGATGGAATGCTTATTAACCACGCATGTGTTCAAGGTCCAATCCCTCACCGACGCACTCCTAAAACACTCTTAGTCGATATTAAGGCCGGTAAAGTGGAAAGGTTAGGAATGAGGCTGGCAACACCACCCTGTAAAGATAAGACCACTGCTATCGAAACTTCATAGCTCTAACCTGATGCCGCATTATGTTCCAATAGGAACGTAAAAGAACAAAATAATTACAAAAATTGTAAATAATAAATGGCAATCACTTAATTATTTAGTTGTAATCAGGTTTTACATAGAAACAAGGTATCACGTAAGAGTTCAAAAGAAATAGAAGAGTTGTGAAGTGCTGAAAAAAATCAAGACGGCACGAAACGGAGAAGTAGTTACCATGATAGTAGAAGTGATTGATTAATTCTCTTTTGTACAGTTAACGAAAGTGAATTCACTGAGCTAATAGTCTTGCTTTTATTACTGGTAGGAATAACAAATAAATTATGATAATTAGGTATATAATTATATTGCTAGTGAATGATACCCCAACCTAGTTATCCAACTTAATCCTTTATCGGATTGATTTCAATTAGAAAATCATTAGAGTTGTAGGCTCCTGTTTCACCGTTGTTTGCAACTAATTAGCAGTCCGCACCAACAACTCCACAAGCGATTGAATTAAAAGCCTTCATTTCATCACTCTGATTTCAGCGAAGAATAATTTTATTTTTTTTAATGCTTGATGTGCTATGAAATCTTTGTAATGGTTGAAATGATTTTCCGGGGTAGGGTTACCAGTGCCAAGCCCAACCTTCCCTCTTCTTCCAGGTATGGAACTGGGTATTAAACTAAGTGACATTAGCATCAACAATAAAATAGTGGAACTTGCCAGAATTTGTAGTGAATGTTCTCATCATAAGACGAACCTGAGCCTTGTTAAATGTTGAAAGTGATAACTACTCCATCTTACCACACAGACTGCAGAATCATGTGATGCGTGAGTAATCAATGTATTTGAACTTCCGTAGACGTACTTTATGTGCTAAGCCTTACCATGTGAATGGTTCTTAGCATTTCGAAAACTACAAATACTCAGTAATTAAACCTTTCCACATAATACTGCTCTCTTTGTGCAATCTTTAACTGGTGAATGAAATTTTTGATTTCTTATTATTATGAAAGGATTCAATTCAGATCCTTCGTAGGCCTTGGAATATTGAAATGCTACAAATCAGATGATCATATGTCTGAGTATGAAACTAAACCACAAAGTTACATTTTGAAACTTACATCTGCAGCAGAAGAATAAAATCTCGAATCTTTTGATTGGGAACACGGACGAGTTTATCGAACTGTATTCTGTCTCGAGTTTTGAAAGACGTTTGTTATTCAGAATGCTGAGACGGCCGTACACTTTCTCAGAATGTTTATTAGTAGTAGAATGGTTTCCTTTATTTCCTAGAGGAAAATAGGGCTTCAGCCGTGCGTCTCCATTGCGTTCGGTTCTCTGTTAGAGTCTTCACCTGGCTCCAAGTCTGCCCACATCCTTTCATCTCCTCTTCACATGACCTCCTCCAAGTCACCCTTGCACTGACGATCAACTCGCCGCTTCCCTTTCGGGTTCTACTCGAGGACTTGTCTAGTGATGTCACTTGATGGTTTCCTCAAAGTATGACCAAACCGTCTCCATTTCTTCCTGCCTATTTGTTTAACGATCGGTTCCTGCTGGGTTGGTTCGCTTATTGCCAGAGATCCCTGTTGCTGATCTTTTCTGGCCGGCCATCTGATCTTGAGTATTGAGCGAAGACAACTGTTAATGAAGGTCTGTAGTTTCTTTGAGATGCTCTTCATGACGCGCAGTGCAAGTCCCTGATCCGTATAGTAGCACTGACTTCACATTGGAGTTGAAATTCCGGATCTTATTTTCATTTTCACGCTGAGTGTTGTTGACCTCCACACAGACTTGAGAGTAGTGAAGCCTTGTCTTGCTTTTCCGATTCTTGCTTTGATATCCTCGTCAGTTCCACCTGTAGTTGAAACGATGCTTCCCAAGTAGGTAAGTAAAGGAGATTGTTTCTTTCAGATTTCTCCCATTTATGCTGACTGGTTGTTGTCTGTTGTTGTTGCTGTCGCTCTTGGGCAGGAATCTTCATCACCTCTGTTTTCTCTATGTTCACCTGAAGTCCTATCTTCTCTGGATGCTTCTTCTCCTGCAACTTGTTGCTTTTCGCTTGCATATCTTCCGGTTTATGGGAAATCAGACATATGTCATCGGCCAAGTCCAGATCCTCCAAGCTTTTTGTGTGAATCCATTTTATGCCTGTTTCTTCATTGCCCACTGTTTGTCGCATTATTCAATCTACTGCAATCAGGAAAATCATTGGCGATCGTAGGCAGCCAGCCTTGTCTTACTCCTGTCCTCACTTCGAAGGATTCCGTAAGTTTCCCGTCGTGGATTACTTGGCATGCAGCATTGTCGTACAGCTGTTGGATGAGATGTATAATTGTCGGTGGCACACCGTAGTAGCGAAGTAGTTGCCAAATCACCTCTCAATCGACGCTGTCAAAGGCCTTTTCAAAGTCGATGAAGTTGAGATAGAGAGGTGACTGCCATTCCAAGCTTTGTTCAATGATGATCCCTCTAACTGTCTGAAAAAAACTACAGAATTTAAAGTGAGTTTTATTCATCTAAAGTCTAGATGACAAGAGAACAGCCTTAATATGAGTACGTGTCATTCAGGTGAATAGAAATGGAGAATAGACACTTCAGGAGGTAAGACACCATAGAAGGGAACAGGTTCTATATCTGTTCTGCTGGTGAAAGCTAAAAGGCTTGGAGTATAAGTTGACTATTATAGCACAACATCAGTCAACTAGGAATATCAAACGAATTGAAGTCGTCGCAATCCAACTTCTAAGTGATTCGGTGTGTTGTGCTGCTTTTGAGTGTCTAGTTTCTCAGCACCACTACTTTTCACTTATGATGTTCATGAGAACGCCGCAAATGGAGGGAAAGGGTGATGTGAGAACAATAGTTTTATGTTAGAAAAACAAAGATAGTGCAAGATAGAATATAGTACTAATAATTGCTATGAGTTATTGAAAACCACTCATACCAGTGAAGAGTGAGTAATAGTCAGATGCGAAGTGATTTAAGTACTGGACAGCCATTTGTTTCTTTATACTGATTGATATCAACAAGGTGATGTTTTGTATTCTGGACATATTTTAGCTTTTTAAAAGACATTTGAAGGGAATACAGGAGTAAGACAACACTGCCTATTATTACCGATGATATTTCTAATTGTGGTCGACTGGATTGTGTGACGAACTGTCAGGAGAGAGAAGATAGGAATACGTTGGACTGACAGGAAGATTTTAGAGGATCTGAGTTTGGCGAATGATTTATGTTCAATGTCACAAAACCTCGATGAATTACAAGCGAAAACCAACTAACTGACTGAAGAAGCTGGCAGCGAAGACAGGACTCCAGGTGAACACAGAGGTGATGAAGATAACAAACCAAACCACTGTAACAAGCACCAATGAATTCCAACAGGAGGAATTTGAAAGATGTCAATGACCTTCACTTATCTAGCTATGCAGTATTGTTTCGACTACAGACAGTCGGCAAAGATGAGGATGCCAAAGCTGGTCAGAATCGGAAAGGCAGACCAGACCATGACTATTCTGATATCACTTTGGAATTCTTCTTCACTCAGCATCAAAAACAACATTAGGATTTTCAACACAAATTTTAAGTCAGTCAGTTCTTCAATACGAGTTAAAACCTTGCACTGCGTGTCACCAAAAGCATTTGCAGCAGGCTACCTTGGACTTTTATCAACAGCTGCCTTAGCTAAATATCGAAGATGACATAACCTGAAAGAATTAGCAGCAAGAAACGATCCACCCAAGAATCTAATTATTATTATTAGTATTAATCCCTTGGGTTCCTAGTGGAACATAGGGCTTCAACTGCACGTCTCCACTTGCTTCTGTCTTCTGCTGTACTTTTCACCTGCATCCATGTTAATCCATACTGTCTCAACTCCTCTTCACACGATCTCCTCCATGTCACCCTTGCACCGACGAACCACTCGCCGCTTCCCTTTCGGGTTCCACTCGAGCACTGGCCTCACGCGCGATGTCACCCAACGGCCTCCTAAGCGAGTGTCCAATCCATCTCCACTTTCTACTGCATATTTGTTGGGCGATTGGTTCTTGCTTTGTTTATTCCCATAGTTTCTTGTTGGTGACTCTTTCCGGCCATCTGATCTTCAGTATAGAGCGAAGACAGTTGTTGATAAACCTCTACCTGCAACCTGTTAGAAATATTCTTTCTGACCCTCGAAGTTTCTCATCTGTATAGAAGAATTAACTTGATATTTGTATTGAAAATCTGAATTTTGTTGTTGATGCAGGCTGAGTGACGAAGATTTCCAGATTGATTTCAGGTTGATGAATGTGTTTCTCGCCTTCCCCATTCTCGATTTGACATCCTCGTCCGTTCCTCC